ACATGTCGAGTTTTTCTCTATCAAGGTGGAATTGGATGCTCAACTTTTCAATTATCAATTGATAAATGATGAAGAGGCCCTTGCATTTGATGGTAAATATTGTTGAGTGATACAATGCTAACCTCAAGGTGGAATTATAATACAGTTGCTCATATATTAAAGGTATTTTAAATGAAGAAATGGATGACAATTTTCATATTTTGTCCATATTGACTAAAGGTTGTTGACAACAATAGTACTTTCACAAAAATAGTAAGATTAAAAGGGTCAATTATTTTTTCATGCCTAACTTTCAATTTGGACAAAGTAAGAAAGTTGTCATTCATTTTGATGATTCGTCGGCAGCGACATCAGAGTGGAAGAAGACGGCGCTAACTCCCTTGTCGACAAGTCGGGTCCTTCGCCTCGCTCGAGCCCATCGCCTCTTGCATGACGTCAGACCACTCGGGCGCACGGTCGGGTCAGAATTGCCTGGTTGGGCGGTCCGGCAGTGTAGGGCCCATGAAATGCCTGACTTTTTCGTGTGGGCTGGAGCAAGGTTCTTGAGTTTTTGGGCAATAACTGCCCAATTACCGTGACAATCCGGTGTGGCGTGGAGTTGCTCACACCAATTAGGGATGTGGATGTCTTGGAAATTTGGAATATATACAAATAATACAATGCAATGCACATGCTCATTTTATTAAGGGTTTTCAAGACGACTTTCTGTTATGTAAACTAGTTTCTCAACCACCCGTTGCTTTGGTTATTATTTCATCCTTATTTATAGTATATTGTTGTTGTACTTTTATTTTCTTTTTTATTATTTATATTTTTTTTATTACAAACGATATTATTAATCTAAACTATTCTAAAAGAAAGATAACCATACAACCATGGCTTTAGAGTGTTTGGGGTTATAGAACGATATTATTAACCTAAACCCTTTTTGAAATGTCATATGAACTTGTGTTTGGGATTATTTAGGTCATTTTAACATCTTTTCACAAGTTTTTTTTTAGTGGTACTAAACCCACCCCATTGTCTTATCTTCTCACCAACTTTAAAAAGGTAAATAATAACATCATTCTTTTCCCACCCACCATGATTCCAATTATAACCTTTTAAATATCTTTAAGTTCTTTAAATTTTATTTTCTATAATATGTATATATAAATATGTATGTAAATATTTATCTCAAAAATAAATAACCAACCATGGGATGAGATAGCAAGCTCCTTGGCTTGGGGCAACAATGATTGAAGAAGGAATACATTAATGTTGTTTCCCTTGTTCGTTCTTGGATAGAAAAAGCCCATCTTACTCATAGGAAGAGGCTCATGCTACTAATATGATATAAAACCAATTTTCAGAGAAGACAAAAGGGCAAGTTCAGTAGAAACCGAACCTGATTCTCTAGGAAGCATGACTAATCTCCGTTGTCGTTGACACAGTTAGTTTGGCTACTGTACAAGATATCAGGCAGGAAAAGGGTTTCGCAGGTACGGGTACAAAACAATTAGAATGGTCTTTTTCTTACCCATGGTCATTGTCAATGGCTTCGACCGAATAGACTTAGACAGCAGCACAGCGAGTTCTACATACACAATAAATAGAATTTGAAGAGGGGGGAGCTGTCATCGACGCCGCCATGCGGGTGTGGACTGGTTGGGTTTGTATAGGGTGGATTTTTAAATTATTTTTTTCCTTTTTCTTTTTTGCTATTTCAACTAATGCTGATGTGGCAAAATGCTAGTGGTTATTGTTTAAGTCCTTAAATGTCATTTTATAAGAGGAGATATTTGTCATTGAAATTTACATTTTAAAGTGGGTAAAATGATAAGACAATGGGGTGGGCTTAACACCACTCTTTTTTTTTCTAGTACAAACACTTAAATTTTTTATTTAATTAGCGCATATGTATCTGCAACTCCATTTATGGCACAAAACGTCAACCTATTTCTCATTTATAGAGCCCGTATGAAATTATGTCTTCATGACATGCTAAAATGCAAACTCCCACTTGTGTACCACTACATATTTGGAATAACCAGAATAGAGTGCATTGCATGATCATTTCATTGCTATCATATCGAAAATATTGTTCCATTGCCTGAGAAACCCTACAGTTTTTGTCGAATACAACTTAATAAAAGGTAAGTAAGGTATTAAAATGACCGGAATAACCCTAAACACAAGTCATGTGCTCACACATGAGTTATATTGGATAGAAAACTTAACGGAGTTAGGGAGAGATAACAAATTAATCTCAAAAAGTTGGTATAACAAATTGCTTAAAATTTTAGTTTATGACAAATTGAAAAATGCGTACAAGTTCATATGACATTACAAAAATTTTCCCTTAAAAATTTAAGTTGAACGATCAAAAATATTTTTCCTAAGAGTGAAACAAGTTTTCTATAAACACACTATCCCGAGCTGTTAAAAGTAAAAATAAGACGAGAATTCCACGTTCGTTTAATTCTCTGCATGGCTGCATAACGCACATATGAAAAATATTAGGCGGCGTTTGTTAAAGAGGATTGACTTAGATAAGGCTATTCATTATATTGAAGACATTTTGAAGAAAGAAATGGATGACTATTTTCATATTTGTTCAAGTTGAAAGTTATTCAAGAAAAAAAGATATCCCTACTATTCTTTGCAAAAATAATAGAATTAAAATTAACAATTTTTTCTTCACGAATAACCTTCAATTGACAAAATAAGGAAGTTGTCATTCATTTTTTCTTTCAAATGCTTTTAATATAGTCTTACCTAATCTCATCATCCATAACAAATGAGGCAAAAAAAATTAAAACAAGTTAATTTGATTTCGTCAAATTTTACGTTTGTTTTGATTAGCAGATCTACATGTTTGACAGGGAAGTCAAATTACATTAAATGTGGATAATCAAAAGGAGCATGAACATTTATGTGCCATTTATGACAAGCAAGTTCTGATGCACCTGATTGGTATGCAAAATACCACGAAATGGTCAGAAATTAAAAATGGTGGCACCCAATAGATACACTCCCGCAGGTTTGCATGGCACATAGGTTCCCATATATTCGATTTAATCAAAACCATGATGGAGATTTTTGAGAAGAGAACTGTTTCAATTCGAGACGTAGAGTATTGATCAGAAAATTTGTCTACCAAACAATTTACCACTTGTTCTTTATTTATGAAGCGTTATGAAAAGTTATGTGATAAAATTTATACAATGTGAAGGCTAGGATCTGTAATTGATATTCCAAAAGAGTGCACTCTTCGATGTTTAAATTTGTGATGATTTCGAAGAAAGTGACTACTGAAAAATCTATAACATACATAAAAACATGTATTTATACTTAATTTAATGGTGAATTGGTGATGAAGGTGCAAATGAGGGGGACACACTTTTATGCAATATGGTCACACTGTTATTGTGGCGTCTCACATAACTAAGTCTGAGAGTAGTTAGAGTAAGGAGACCACATAGGGCATTTAGGGCCCTCAAATTTTTTATTTTTTTATATATATTATATAAATTAATATTACAAATATTATGTCTATTCAAATAAAAAGTTTACAAACTTTACGTCTTTGTCTAAATGCAATAGCCGATGGGCTGAACGGCTAAGCCTAAAATTTGTAAGATTTAATTATTTTATATAATTAATTGAAGAAAAAATAACAAGCCTGATTTGTACGTGAAAATTGAAATGTTAAGCGACTCAAACTTGTTCTTATTGAGTTGAAAGACAAACTTGTTTACTTCTTTTGTCGCCCTCCCCAGATCGCCAAACACCATACGCTAAACAGCTAAACCCTTTAGCCTTTGTTGCATTCCCCAAACAAACACCTCGATTGCAAATTGCTAAGGTAATCGAAGAGAAAATTTTATCTTTTTTTTATCTCTTTTTATAATTTTATCTTTTTGAGTTATTGAGACATTTTTCTATGGTATGGTGATGGACCAATGGTTTGATATTATTATTGTGTTGTTATTTGGTTTATGTAGATATATTTGGGAATTGTGAATTTCTTATATTCGTCAATGAGGTTTTATTGTTCTTTAAGACTTTATCGGCATAATATTGAGTTGAATGCTGAATGTTGATTTTTAATGATATTTGATGTATAAATAGACTTTTTCATGTATTCAGCTAAATTTGTTTCTATACATATCAATGTTCAAATGGTTGGAAGTCAAAGAACTCTAGTGCCCCACTTCAAAGGCTTGCCTAGAGCCCCCAAATTCTCAAGGCCAACCCCGGTGTTTCGGGCCACTAACACAATGCATAAGAAGAATTTGAGACAACACATTGACAGTTAACTCATTTCATGTAAGTCCTTATTATGTAATAGAACATAAAAGAGAAGGGTAATTATGTACATCTATCAGAATTGAAACGAACAGAGTTATTTAAAGTGATATCTGTAGGGAGAGCAGAACCGGGGTATTAAAAGGAGTAGGTGAAGCTGGTTGCAAGATTCAAAGGAAGAAGAAGAAGATATTTGTTGAAATGGAGTACTCACAGTCGCATGAAGTATCAGCTGATGAGGAGGAGGAGTTGATGGAGAAGAGAAGTTACTATATATTTCCATGCCACTTCCTTGAAGAAGTCGTCCGGGCTTTTTTCAAGTGTTTGGGCATTCAGACTAAATCTCAGGAGGTGAAAGACACTGATGAAATAAACCCCGAGAAAATTACTCCTCCAACCTCAGAACAGCTACTTGATGGTGCAGTTCCATCACTTCTGATGACATACGGTGATCCTCCATCTTCATCAGCTACAGAAACTGCAGTTAGTCTCTCTCTCTCTCTCTCTCTCTCTCTCTCTCTCTCTCTCTCTCTCTCTCTCTCTCTCTATAACACATATATTGTAGACATGCATTGTGGGTTTTTGTTTTCGTTTATTTTATTTGATGAATTAACTTCGGAGCGGAATTTGAACTTGAGACCTCTTTTAATATTGAAGGAAAAAAAAAATCACTAAACCCATGTTTGAATTATAGAGATAGATCATGTTACGGTAATGCACAAAATATGTGTATTTTAATGTGCAGGACGAAGCTGCTGAAGTTACAAGGATAAAGGTGAGCACTCGAGAAAGACCTGGACTAAGCACAGGGGAAGGTGGAAAAACTAATTGATCAGTCTCAGTTCTTCTTGTTTATACACCCTCCATCTTCAGTGGGCAGATCTTTGGGTTAACAAGCCTGTTAATTAAATATTTATAGGTCATCTCTCTGTGTTTTTTTTATTAAGTTCTTTTTCCTGTCTTATTTTTTCTGGGGTCTGCTTTTAAGTTTGTATGTGATATTGTATTGTGTGATTGTGTTGTTCGAAAAGAAATTATCTCTGACTAATATTCAACTTCTTCTCTAGAGTGACATGCAGAAATATTGTCTCAGAAAGGCGTTAATATATATTTTGAATTATGCATTGTCTTGCACATTAAAAATATGTGTAGAAGAATGAGTGTCTTCCGATTTTAGCTCACATATATATATGTGTGTGTGTGTACCCTTTTATTTCAGATTCACTGATTCAGAGAAACTCAAACTTCAAAGGTTTTCTTAGAAGTGGTATGAATACTTGTCCCCTGAAAACTACATAAAAATACTCAATGAAAATAAAACCGGCCTCTTTTGCTTGGTGGGCCTTTCTGGCCATTATTTTTACCTAAGTCACATCTTATGACTTTAAGGCAAGACCAATTGTTCCGGGCCCAATAAGCCTCCGAAACCCGAAACTACTTGAAGGCCTAAATCTAATTACGACTTGTCGATACAATTAATAAAGACAACTTAATTAATCTTGTTAAGTAATTTCATCATTCCCTTGTAATTTATTAAACTACATGCAAGAACTTTTTGTCTAGGGCACTTTATCTCTATTGAGAACTTACACACTTGTTTATGTTCTAACAAATGATTTGAAACGGCCCACTCTCCTAATTGAGTATAATGTGTGACGATTTTTTTTATAAATTATCCATTATTTATCTGATAATACTACAACTAGAAACAATTTAAGATATGATAGTTAGAGAAAAGGTCTCTTTTAAATATATATATTATTATTAAGGGGAGGGGAAGAGTTCGAAACTATTACAATAATTTAGAAGATGAGAAGTTTCGAACTCTGGACACATGAATGAAAGCTCAACAACTATCCAATAGGATATTGGACCACATGCAAGAGAAAAGGTCTATTGAATCTGACTTCTTTAGATTACAATGGACTTACTGTTTAGGCATAAAACAATTAGAGTTAATGCTATACTTATCATATTTTTCATACCGCATTTGTAAGACCTCTCTAATAGAGGTAATGCCCACCAACAAATGCGGGTTCCATCTCTATTAGAGAGATGGTACAAATGGGATATATATGTAAAATGTGGTAAGAGTGACATTTTTGTAACAACCAATGAGACTATATCATTAATAGTGATTTTGGCCTCTGATTAAATTAGTATATTAATAATTTGCATTATCTAAATTTGCATCTTATTGTTGACTTTTAAGGTATACATATCTAACAATCTCTCGCTGACACTAAAGTCAACCACAACACTCATGGATTGATTATAATTTTAAAATTACGAAACTACCTTTAACAGCGTGAGCATTACCAAAATCTCAACCTAAGGTAGTGCTTGTTTAGGCTCACTAAGTTTTATTGGACTAGACTACACTTAGTGTAGTCCTATGTTTGGTAGGCAAAGGGATTAAGTTTAAAGGAAAACTAATGAAAAGTTCAAAAACAAATTTAGTTTTAATGAAAAATGATAAATAAATGTGTAGTACATAGTACCAGAGAAAGGTAAAAATGTGATTTTTCGTTCAAAGTGAACAGTACCAAGAGTGTTTTGTTAAAAGTCCCTAAGTTTAATGAGATTAGCCCTCACTCGCTCCGACTATCTCCTTTGCTAGGAGTTCTTAGCGAGAATCCGCAAATACGAATAATACTTGACTACTCAAAGATGGAATTCCTACTCAAAACTCTTAGTATTTTAAACACAGAGTTTTGTACTTATGATCAGAACCATTCATAATATGATTACACTGTACAGATCATTTCTGCAAAAAATAAATTAAAACTAAGGTTGTTTAGGCAATCTATTGTAGCAAATACATAGACGATTTGTAATGCTTTTACCAATACTGTTCATTTCTTTTTAAACAGTTTGATGACTAAACGACCTTAATTTTAATTGATTTTTTGCAGATGTGATCTTTATAGGATGATTTATAATATGAACGGTTCTGATTATAAACACAAAATTCTATAAATTGACAACAAACAATTTTGAAGAATTTTAAGTAGAAGTTCTTAGGGTATTGTTCCGTAAATACCAAGAGGTTACCAAGCCCGTCGTCGAGAGAGTCGTCGCTTGTCCTCATCTGCTCGCTCATCTTCTTGCTCCGTCATCCTCGTACTGTTCGCCCTTATCTCCTGCTCGTCATCATCTACTTCTGGTCTGGTAAATTTCGAATCGGACGATTTATTTCTTCGATTTTGTTTTCTAGATTGTTAAATTATTACTGGGTTTTCATGACTTTCGATGATTTTTTTTCTCTAATTTTTAAAGTAGGAGATTAACTCTAATTTTTAAGGTAGGAGATTCGAAGTTGATCAAAAAAATTGAGACGTTATAGAATTCATTGAGCTGAACCTATACAGTGGAATAAGACTTATTTTTGTTATAATTTTTTTTTAAACATGGGAGAAATATTTTTATTATTATTCAAATTAAATATGGAAATTCAGCACAAAAAAAAAATTAGAAAGTGAGAGGATGAGGCTTATATTCGCTTTTGTTCAGACAAAAGAGGGAAGGAAACGCAGCTTTCCATGGCTGCGAATACGGCAGCTACCGGCGGATGAAAGCAACCGGGTTGCCCCACCAAGGAAACCGATTCCGCATTCCCGCCCCCTAGTTTTACAATCGCTATAAGTATCATCACCACCTCGTTCCGAGAGAGAGAGACTGAAAGACAGAGAGAAACAGACAGAGAGACAGAGAGACAGAAGCAGAAAATTTGATGATGAATACGAAGAAGAAGATGAAGGAGGAGAAGAGAGGGTTGTTTGGGTACGAGTAACATAAGGTCGGGTGTGGTGAAATCATCGGCTCCATCGCCATTCAGAGAGGGCGGCGACCACCCTCAGGGACACCCGAAACGGCCTTTCTGAGATCAGAGCCTCATTCTTATAGCGCGTTTACTAATCCGTAATCAAATTAAGAGGAATTGAATTGAGAATGAATTGAATTAAGGAGGAATTGAAATGAGGTGGAATCAGAATCAGATTCTTGTTGAAGTTGTTTACTAAAATTGTTCGGAATCAAAATAAAATTCCATAAAGCTGTTTACTAATTCAGCAGAATCGGAATATAAACCAGTATGATTACTAAAATGCCCTTATCTCAAATCAAATATTTTATATACTTTTTTGTAATAAAATTTGATATAGTATATAATAGTAAGAAAAAATTAAATTGCTTTTTTATTTCACAGACATACTAAAATGATTTTGTTTATTTTTTTTTATAAATTTAAGTATTGACTTTAATATCTAAATTTTCTCACTCAAGTTGTAGTTTTTTCTCTTCGGCATATGTATGAAGTTGTGCATAATGTGAATGAACATAGAATTATGCTTAATAAGCTAGTAGCACATGCAACGACGGGAAAATAAGTCTAGGGTTAAAAGGATAATCTTGGAAATAATGAAAGTAAGTAAGGGCATAAAGGGAAAAAAAATTATCATTCCGATTGCTTGGGCAATCCGGAATCCAAATACCTCGTATATGTTGGGAATCCAAATCCTCCAATTTCAGGAATTGGATTCCATTTTTTGTGTGGGCCCCACGCACTTTTGATTCCTCCCAATTTTAGTAAACACAGGTATAATCCGTAATAGGAATCGGATTCCTTATTCTCATTTCGATTACGGGTTAGTAAACGCGCTATTAAACTAACGAGCCTTTAAACCCTAGACGCTGCGGCCTAAGCTCATATTTTATACTTGCTCCGAATTGAGTGAGGGTATTTTGGTCAATCTCGTATCGTGGAACACTATAGGACCCAATGCTTATATCTTGAAAAGATGGCGGCATTATGGGAATGTGAATGACCACACTCCTTGGACATTGCATTTCTTGTTATAAATAGGCAAAAGTTAGAGAAATAACCTTTACTAAAGACAGGAGCGAAGTGGGTGCAAAATATCACACTATAACTTTAGTAGCTATAACACAAAGGATGGCAAATAAAGAGAGGGAGGAAGATATACTGATATTATTTCTTTGATTCTTTCTTTCGCAATGTGTGTTTTGATAAGACACGGATTGCTCTATTTATAGAGCTACTCCCATGAGAACATCCAAAGATGATATGATAGCTACTTTTGACAATATTACATAACAACAAATATATCACTATAATTTTCACCTTTTTCCAAATGCATGTGGGATGTGGGTATACTAATGCATGTGGGATGTGGGCATACACCATACAGCTTTTACAACACTCCCCCTTGGATGCCCACATATCAACATCAGTTGCCTCGTTAAAACCTTGCTTGGAAAAACCCAGTGGGAAAAAACCATAGCGAAGGAAAAAGAGTACAACTTTACCTGGATTGTTGATAGTGTTATGTAAGCTTATGTTGCTTCGTTAAAACCTTGATAGGAAAAACCTGGTGGGAAAATTCTAATAAAAGGAAAAAGAGTACAACATGCATGTATCATGAATGCTCCCCCTAATTCTGCATTCTTCAAATTTAGTTGATTGGTAAGCCGACGTAATCTGATTCCCTGCACTAACTTCTGAAATGTGCACTTTGGTAAAGATTTGGTGAACAAGTTTGCCAGATTTTCATTGGAACGAATTTGTTTGACTTCAATAACTTTAGCCTTCTGAAGCTCATATGCACTGAAAAACTTTGGAGATATATGTTTAGTCTTATCGCCCTTGATAAATCCTTCTTTCATTTGGGCAACACATGCTGCATTATCTTCATGGATGACAGTTGGAGTGTCTGTCTTTGAAGTTAGACCACATAAATTCCAAATATGATGGATCATTGATCTTAACCAAGAACATTCACAACTTGCTTTATGTAAAGCAAGTATTTTCTAGTGATTGAAAGATGTAGCAACTAGTGTTTGCTTTGTTGAGCGGCTTTATGCGGATCAGAGAGGAAACCAGCATCTGCATATCCAGCAAGGATCTGGTCATTTGTGGATTTCTCTGAGTAGAAGAGACCCATGTCTGTTGTTCTACAAAGGTATCGCAAAACATCTTTGATTCATTTCCAATGACGAGTTGTTGGAGAAGAACTATAC